GAAAAGGTACCTAATTTATTATATAATAAACTACCATGCAAAAGTTTCTTATATGGAAATATTTGAGATCCTTTATCTAGCAATTTCTTTATCGATGTTAATATAATTTGAATTTTTGAAATCTATCAAATCAATCCAATTGATACGGACCTTCAACAAAATCTTTTTCTCTTTCACCCTTATTACTTCAATTCTTATGTGATAATGCCGCCTTTCTCATTATAATTAAATTGTATATAATATATCTCCATTATTTAATAGTTATTCTCTCCTAATGTATCTGCTTTCTTTCTTATTTAACCAACATGATAACATACTATTATAAATAAGTTCTCCTTCTCTTTTGATTATTTATATATATCCTTCCTATCAATAGAACCTTTAAACATGGACTCAGTTATGTAACCCTTCTCCATTTTCATCAATATCCTTCGTATTTCGAGCTTTTCAAAGGACTAATAAAGCTATATCCAAGCGAAGCCTAGATATATTTCTAACTTCATTTATTGAAAAAAGTTTATTTTTCATTTTCAAATAAATATTTTTTCTTCGTCTCCAAAAAGCACATTAAGCAGGGAGAATTTTTTGAAGTCATAAACTTTAAACAAGAGTTTGATTTAATTCACAACTATGGTATCTTTATATTAGATTTTATTTTTTCTATTTTTCAACTTCCATCAGATATAAATTGTATAATTAGATTGTTAAGTTATTTTCTCAAATTTGTCTACAAAGTATTACAACCCTATATTGAATGTTTGAGAAAGTTCTTACTTAGATTACGATTTATTTTAAAGATTAACTTAACTTTATCAGAAGGCAAAATGTATAGTAGACTAAATTAGATTAAGACAAAGCCTACTTAGAACAATAATTCAGAAGATTTAAGACAAAATATTATGATAGGACATAAGACCTTTTTAAGCAGTTACTTATAAATTTTGATTTTTGCTTTCAATTTATTTTGATTTTGACAAGGTTAATTTTAATAAAACTTTGTTTTTACTGACTTTAAGGTAAAATTTTATTTAAAAATTTTTTTCTATTAAGTAATATCATTATGATTGTGCAATTTTAGTTTTTCCAAATTTATAAGAAGGCGTTGGTTTTTAAACTTAAATGATAATTAAATTTGTAAATATCATACTTTTGTGTCGGCTCTGACCATCGCACATACCGGTTTAAGTAAGTATATAATAATATTACTGTAAATCAAATCTCGTTTTATAGATTCAGTTGCCTTATTTGCTTCATATTAAAAATTATCACCCTTATGAAAGCAATTACTACTATATTGTCTAACTTTTGGAGGTAATATCTATTTGATTCTTATTTTAATCAATTATTTTTATCCTCGAAATAAACTAACAAAAAAAATACAAAAAAAAAAGAGAATATTTGTAATCTCTAGAAATCTATGAATTTAATTACTCTTATTTGTAAAATAAATTTTATTCCTATTTCTTTTAATCGGAAAAGAAATGCAACAATAGAAAGAATACTTCCTTAAACCAAATGTTTAATAGTATATTTAATATAATAAATAGGTTTGAAATTATAATATAATTTATGTTCATAAATTACAATAGCGCTTTTTTTATTTAATGAAATTAATATTTGAAATGAATTTGTAATTTTTCGCGAATAATTTTTATTATGTGGTCGAATTCATAATTATAATGAATTTGTATTGTATAAATAAAAATCTAGAATATTTAGTAATTTATCAAAATACATATTTTCTTTTTTACAATTTTAATCAACCGTTTCAATTAATCCCTGATATATTTGTTGAAAAATCTCTAAGCATTGACTTGATTTACCAAAACCTCCCTTGAAATCATGATTTAAAAATGACTTTAAATACCTTCCACACTTTCTCTATTGGGTAACTCTGGGAATAAGATGATATAGATAAGAAATTGATATTTTTTATAAACTATTAACTTGTTAATATTCTTATGTGTATCGAACAATAGACTAGAACAATCACAAACCTTTACTAACCGAAGTATCAATCAACACATTGAATGTTATTCTCTACATATTAACCGAATACATTTTAATTGACATTATCCAACACAATTAAAAATCGTTAAAATCATTTATTCCATTAAGTTTAAATATTACTTAAGACCTGTCAATCATCAAAATTTTATATGTTATTTGGATATAGCGTGTCGATC